TCTGACAGAGAAGCTGAAACGCCATAGTCTTGTAGCATGAAAACAACTTTACTTTTATCTGGTGCAGGTTGGGAGCCAAGGAGGGTACCTGTTTGTATGTTCTTATAAGGTGTTTATTGTACTTAAGAAACTCTGAATCCAGTAAGAAGCAATTGGCTTTGGTGGGGACTGTGAGCTCACTTCTGGCTCTGGAGCTGAGAGGGCAGCAGCAGGAGTATGGCTGGGCAAGGCACTGGGAGGTCCCATCTTTCTGGAGTAGCTGCCAGGTCAACCCTTGCCTCCTGGCTGGCAGATGGGCTTTTAGGCTCACATCTCCTCCCAGTGTCTGTCACAAGCCAGCAGAAGGCACCTGGCTGGCATGGTGTTTGCGTTATGCCCTCTGCCCAAGTACCTGAAAGGCCCATGCAGAATTGGGCTTGGCTGTGGATTGTTAAGTCTCTTCTGCCTGAGTACATGGCTGCAAAAGAGAGCAGCAAGCACGTGTCTTGGTTGTGTCTGTCTGAAGAGTTGAAAGGCCAGCAGCGGACACATGGCTTGGAAGATCAAGGTGAAGTTCCTTCCCTTTAGTCAAATGACAGGAAACAAGAAGGATAATTTAGCATGCCTTTATGAAGGGTCGTTTAAAAGATGATGGAGCTTTTCTTGATAGTTGGAAACAACATGTGAGAGAAAAACTAGGGAGGGTAGAGATATCAATGAATCTATGGAAATGCCAAGCTTAGTGTAAGGTAGGAAAGCAGATAGGTGCTTGCATCCTGAAGGGAAAAGGGAACAGGTGTGGGACATCATAGGACAGCCAGCGGTGGAGGTGGCCAAAGGCACTGGAAAAGCTACATTTATCCATGAAAACCAAGGCCTTTGTTCCCTTGGCTCTTTCAGGTCTCCCTGCCACCAATACCTAGGAGGAGACATTTTGTCCTCTTAGCAATGGGACCTTACCTCCCCTTTGCACCTCTTGATGGAGGTCAGGAGGTGTCACACCAGTGTCTTTCACTTCGCACTGCATATCCCACATCCCACTGCCTGAGGAAGAGCCTGGAGCCCCATGCGAGGACAGGAGCTCCCTATGTCCAGTGCTGGTGGAAAATCTTGGCCTTTCTGCTTGATGAAAAAAAAAACAAACAAACAGTATTTTCTCAGCCTCAGAGCCACCTGCACAGGGCCTTGGCCTACCTGTAATCATGGCCTTCAACTACTTGCTCTAAAGAGTCCTTGGGACTTTGTCAGTATTGGCCCTCAGCAGGACCAGTCAGTGCTTTGAAGATCTTTGGGGTTTGGCTTCTGACTTTGGTTTTCTGAGATTTCATCAGTATCCTCTCAGGAGATGAAGTTCACGGACCTGGCAGCACCTACCCCTTGGGACTTACTAGAACACAGAAAGACCTGAGTTTCTCTGAAGGAGGTCTGGATAGGTAAAAGTCTGATCCTGTAGGACAACCTTGCTCTTCACCTTCCCACCTTGCACCGTTTCTATCATAGATCCCCTAGGACTTGCATCACTTCTCATGACATCAGACTTCTCCACTGAAGTCTGCAGTTGCACCCTGTAGTTCCTTTGTCCCAACTTCCTCCTGCTTTCCTTAGAGAACAGGCCGCACACAGGTAGAGAAGAATGATTCTCAACTGTGAACAAACTAAAATAAATATGAGAAAGCTTAATAATCAATGAAACACACTGCTCAGTTGTATGCTAGCTCTATTTTTTTTTCTAATGAGACTCACCTCCCACAAGGGATATACTTATCAGCATTGTATTTCGGCAGTAGACATGAAAGGTTATGTAAAAACATAGATCAGGAGTTGCCTAGAGTCAGAGTGAGAATACATAAAGCAAATGGAAGCTTTGTTCTCCCTGAGGCTTAAAGCAGCAGCTAGATCATAACATTATAGAGTCATTGAATCATTGAATCAAAGACTGATAGAGTCTTGGATTGATTTGGGTTGGAACAAGACTCTAAATCATGTACTCCAGTCCCCCTGCAATGATCAGGGAAATCTCTCACTACATCAGGTTACTGAATGCCCCTGTTAACCTGATTTTCAACATTTCCAATGATGAAACATTCACAGCTTCTCTTGGAAACCTGTTCCAGACTGCCCTGGTTTCAGTTAGGACGGAGTTAATTTTCTTCCTAGTAGCTGGTAGAATGCTATGTTTTGGTTAAGGACCTTAAGGACTGTCCTTAAACTTTTGAAAATGACAAGATTTTTCCACCTCTCAGAAACGTAAGGCATTTAGGTGAGGACATTTGATAATGTCAAATTAGAGAGAAGACCAACTGTTTGGAAACAACTGCATTTCAGTGCAGAATAAGGTCAGATGAGATTGTGATGCCCTCTGCCCGAGTACCTGATAGGCTCATGCAGAAGCAGCCGTGGCTGTGGATTGTCAAGTCTCTTTTGCCTCTGTACAGGAGTGGAAAGCAGCAGGAATGTGGCTTGGTCATGTCTATCTGAGGACCTGAAAGGCCAGCAGGAAGGCCACATGGCTTGGAAGATCATGGTGAGGTTCCTTCTGTCTAGTCAGATGACAGGCAACAAAAGGCTGATGGGTTAAGATGCCTGTGTAATGGGTAGTTTCCAAGATGATGGAGCTTTTTTTAGTAGTTGGAAAAAGCATGCAAGAGAAAAACTGGAGAGGGTAGAGACATCAGTGAAGGCACAGAAATACCAAAGACAGAGCAAGGTGGAAAAGCAAAGATGGGTGTTTGCAGCCAAGGGGGAAATGGGGCCAGCTGTGGGACAGCACAGGTCAGCTGTTGGTGGAGGTGGACAAGGGCACTGGCAAGGCAAGACTTAGCCAAGAAAACAAAGGTCTTGTCCCCTTGGCTATGTCAGTTTTCTCTGCCACCAAGGCCTAGGAGGAGACATTGCTCTCTTAGCATTGGGACCTCATCTCCTCTTTGCACCCCCTGAGGGAGGCCAAGAAGTGTCACACCACTGTCTTTCACTTGGTACTGTATACCCCACTGCCCAAAGAAGAGCCTAGAACCCCACATGAGGACAGGAGCTCTCTGCTCAAGGCTGGCAGTAGGGCTGCTCAGGGCTGGCAGCAGTTTCATCAGCCTTTCTGCCTGATGAAACAAAGCCAGGATTTTCTCAGAGTCAGAGTCATTACAGGTAGGCCAAGGCACTGGGCAGGTGCCTTGGCCTACCTGTAATCATGGTCTCCAATTACCTGCTCTAAGGAGTCCATGGGGCCTTGTCAATATTCTGGGTCTGGCTGGGATGGAGTTAACTTTCACTGCAGCAATCCATACCATGCTGGGCTCTACACTTGTAGCTAAAACAGCACTGGTATCACACCAGCATTTTGTCTACATCTGTTCAATACTGGCACAACACCAGGACACCCTCTAAACCCACAGGAGCCAGCAGGCTGGGGATGGATAAGAGGTGGGGAGGGGACGTCACCAAGGCTGTATTTTATTTTATTTTATTTTATTTTATTTTATTTTATTTTATTTTATTTTATTTTATTTTATTTTATTTTATTTTATTTTATTTATTTTTTCCCCAGCATACTTTCTTCTCCCCCTTTCCTTTTGAGGAGGAGTGAGAAAACAGTTGTGATAGAGCTTGGCTGCCCACCTGTGTAAAGCCAACACATCAAATCATCAGGAACTTCTCCTGACTGCAATGAGTTTTCAAATATTATGGAAAGTGGCATGGCAACTACATCAGCAATCAGATTGAGGCCCTGCTTCAGGAACGTGGTTAAGCATCACTCCTTGGTGGGAAGTAGAGAGTAATTTCATTCCTCTTTCTCTGTGCTTACACACAGCCTTTGCTTGTGTGTTTTTTTTTTTTTTTTTTTTTTTTTTCCTCCCTCCCTCCCTTCCTTTTCCCTTTAGTTAAATTTTATTTTCCCCTAATAACAATTTTCCCTTAATAATTATTTTTTCTTTAATTAAATTATCATTGCATGTATCCTTGTGGATGTGATGGAGTTCAGCTGCCTAGCAAGGAAAAACCATTACAGTCAGTAATGGTTCTCAACTGGACCAATCATTGCTTTGAAGAACTTCAGGGTTTGACTTCTGACTTTGCTTTTCAGAGGGATATCATCTGTTTCCTCTCAGGAGCTGAAGTTTGTTGGACTTTGCAGAAAGTGCACCTTGGGGCTTATTAAGACACAGAAATCCTTGAGTGTCTTTTAAGGAGGTCTGGATAGGTAGGAGAAATCTGATCCTGTATGGACAACCTTGCTTCTCACCTCCCAGCCACACCACTTCTCTCATTGGCCCCTTAGGACTTGAATCACTTCTGGCATCAGACCTCTCCACTGATATCTGCAGTTGCACCTCATAGCTCTTTTGCCCCAACTCCCTCCTACTTTCCTTAGAGAACAGGCTGCACACAGGTAGAGAAGGATGATTCTTGGTTGCAAGCAAACTAAAGTATGATGAAGCTTAATAATAACCAAACACACTGCTCAAGTGTATGCTAGGTCCAGGCTGTACCCAGTGAAGTTCATCTCCCTCAAGGGATAGTCTTACTGAGCATTTGATTTCAGCCAGTAGACATAAAATGTTACATAAACGCACAATTTGGGAGTTGCCTAAAGGCACCATTAGAATACATAAAGCAAGGAGAAGTTTTGAACTCTGTGAAGTTTAAAGCAGCAAAATGATCATAGAATCATAGAGTCATAGACTTATTGAATCAAAGACTCTAAGATCATCTAGTCCAATCCCCCTGCCATGGGCAGAGGCATCTCTTACTACATCAGGTTGCTGAAAGCCCTTTCCAACCTGACTTTGAACACTTTCAATGGCAGGGCATCCATAACTTCTCTGGGAAACCTGTTACAGTGGTGCACTACTCTCATCCTGCAAACTTTCTTCCTTATATCCAATCTAAATCTCAGCACTTTCATTTCAAAAGCATGACCCCTTGTCCTGTCACTACAGACCCTGATATTTCATTTCTGTGCTTTAGTTTGATTAAGAGGTCCTGTCTCAGCAATGCTGGTCTCCTATCTCCCTTGCCTGGTTTCTCCAGTGCCTCAGGAAACATGGGCAGTGCACTCAGGATACCCCTTTTGTTCCAGAGATGCTGGCGGTGAGGCCAGATCTTGTACAACATTCAAAGCATTTGTGAAAGGTTCAGACGTGTTTAGCTAAAGCCTCAAGAGAATTGGTGTAAATCTAAGGAATAACCTGTTGGTACCATTATCTACAGGAAAAGAGAAACTCTGAGAATTGTGCAGAGAAGCGGAAGCAGGTTCTTGTTGATGGTACAAGGTTCCCTGTAGTCAATTTCTCAGTGCCTCCTGGAACTCACAGCTTACTGAGTTCGGAAGTGCCAGCACCTGATGTGATGACAGAAAGCAGATGGAGAAGGCCTTCAGGGAGGCAAAAATGAGGTGCTGACAAACAGGCAGTCTATGGACAAGTGAGGGAGGAATAGGGAAAATATTTTGTGTTGACTACCAGCCTCTGCACTGAAGAAATCCTTTCTTAATGAAAAGAAGAAACAGGAGGCCACCTGCCATGTGATGATAGGCTCATTTACAGAAGGCCTCTGAGTCAGTCTGACTGCAGGGACAAGTCTATTCCCTGCAGAAATGGAATGAATGCAAGCACCTGTGTACAGCCATGATTATCAATGACAGAATGCCCCAAAGCACATTTGTCTGAGATCAATCAGAGATCACTTGTGGAGAGAGACAGGCACTTTATTTCATCTTAATTACCACCAGTAGGATCAGTTTCTTCAGTGCCCCTTTGAGCTCCTGGTTCCTCATACTGTAGATGACAGGGTTCACTGCTGGAGACACCACTGAGTACAGAACTGTCATCACCAGATCCAAGGATGGGAAGGAGATGGAGGGAGGCTTAAGATAAGAAAACATGACAGTGCTGAGAAACAGGGAGACCACGGCCAGGTGAGGGAGGCATGTGGAAAAGGCTTTGTGCCGTCCCTGATCTGAGGGGATCCTCAGCACAGCCCTGAAGATCTGCACATAGGACAGCAAAAGGAAAACAAAACATGCAAAGAGTAAACATGCAGAAACCACAATAAGCACAACTTCCGTGAGATAGGCATCTGAACAGGAGAGCTTGAGAATCTGGGGAATTTCACAGAAGAACTGGTTCAGGGCATTGCCGTGGCAGAGGGGGAGAGAAAATGTATTGGCGGTGTGCACCATGGCATTGAGAAAGCCACTGCCCCAGGCAGCTGCTGCCATTTTGACACAAGTCCTGCCACCTATAAGGGTACCGTAATGTAGGGGTTTGCAGATGGCAACGTAGCGATCATAGGCCATGACAGTGAGAAGAAAATACTCTCCTGAAATCAAAAAAACAAGCAGAAAGACCTGGGCTGCACAACCTGAGTAGGAGATAGTCCTGGTGTCCCACAAAGTATTGGCCATGGCTTTCGGGAGAGTGGTGGAGATGGAGCCCAAGTCAAAGAGGGAGAGGTTGAGGAGGAAGAAGTACATGGGGGTATGGAGGCGGTGGTCACAGGCTACGGCTGTAATAATGAGGCCATTGCCCAGGAGGGCAGTCAGGTAGATGACCAGGAAGAGTGCGAAGTGCAAGAGCTGCAGATCCTGCATGTCTGCAAATGCCAGGAGGAGGAACTCAGTGATGGAGCTGCTGTTGGACATTTTCTTCCTGTGGGCCCAGGCAACTGTCCCAAAACGAAAAGACAGGAAAGGGTTAGGACAGACTTCTCTGCAAAAAACAAAGCCATTTCTCATAGACTGTCTCCCCCAACACACTCATCCTTTGTCCTTTTTTGCAAGACCACTGTGCAGTTCCCTACTGGAACTCTACTTTTGGCTGACTGAGAGTGTCATGAAGAGCTTGGCCTCTGCCTGTAGACTCCCAAGGTGTTGGTTTTGTAATTCTGTAGTATCTGAAAACAAGGGGATGGAGGGGCCAGATCTGATATTCAGGATCTCCCAGGTGGAATCCCTCTGAACACAGAAGGGCTTGTCAGCATCTGCACCCCAAATTCTAAGACGCTTGCAGAAATAAGCTTCAGACCTTTGTTTGTTTGTATTTTGGACAGCCCTTTGAGCCCCACCTTGTCCCACCTCCATCACCTCCTCTGGGGAGTTTTCTTTGAAGGCAGAGCTCCTGAGCATCTGTGGGGCACTCAGGCACAACATCTGTGAGTCCTGACAGGCAAAAGATTTGCAATGGTTTTGTGCAGGGTGAGGCAAGCTGGTGTGTCCATTGGTGTTGTTCCCAGCTGCCCCATGCTTGCTCCTTCTTGCTATGGAGAGGTATTACGGTCCTGTGTCCCCCTGAGAAGAAACCAAACACCTCTGAGAGCACAGGCATCAACTGCAGATCACTGAGTGCCTCACCCTGCCTCCAGGTACCTGAGCAAGTTGTCAGCACCCCACTGCTAGCCAAGGAGTTCCTTTCACCATCCCAACAGCCTTTTCCTGCCCATAACATTTCTGTACTTCTCCATCAGATAAAGCAGAGCTGCTATGGGAGGAATTGCAGCCTGGAAGGAGCTCACAGCTTGGAAGGACATCTCAAGGACTTCATCAAATGTCCTAATGAGGGCATATCTGGTGAAGGGAGGGTCAGATCTTTTCCCACCCCCACTAACTGCATTGCCAGAGTCCCACAGTGTAAAGGAAGCCTGGGACACCACTGCACGACATATCAAGAGGTGCCCTTGTTGCCCTGACACAGGATTTTGGTTAAATATTTTGTCTTAGTGCCTGCCCTTCTCTGCTGCCTCGAGCTCTCTCTGCTGGGAGCTGCTTCTCTGTCCCCATGTATGTGCCCTGCCATGGCTCACAGACCCCATGCCCTGTGCTGTGTGCTCAGCTCTGCCCTGCAGACACCTCCAGGGGCAGGGAACAGCCCAGGGGCATTGCCACCTGTTGTGGTTTAGCCCTTCAGGCAACTCAGCACCATACAGCCATTCGCTCACTTCCCCACAGTAAGACAGGAGACAAAATCAGAAAAATAAATCCTAAAACTTGTGGGTCAAGATCAGGGCAGTGTAAGAGCGGAATATATATACATATATATATAGCTGAGGCAGGGGAAGTTTAGGCTGGACATCAGGAAGGGGTTCTTCACAGAGAGAGTGGTTGCACACTGGAACAGGCTCCCCAGGGAAGTGGTCACTGCACCGAGCCTGACTGAATTTAAGAAGAGATTGGACTGTGCGCTTAGTCACATGGTCTGAACTTGGGTAGACCTGTGCGGTGTCAAGAGTTGGACTTGATGATCCTTAAGGGTCCCTTCCAACTCAGGATACTCTATGATTCTATGATATATATATATATATATATATATATATATATATATATATATATAAAGGAAAAAGAACATGTAGAACAAGTGATACACAATGGCACATCACCAACTGATGCCCAGCCAGCTTTGCGTAAGCACTGCTCAGCACAATGTGTTATCAGCCTTCTTCTCATCCTAAATACAAAGCACAGCACCATAACAGCTACTAGGAAGGAAACTAACACTACCCTAGCCAAGACCTGGACGCTATGTTTGCATGCAGCTCACACAATCCCTGATGAAACAGGGAAGGTGACAGTCTTATCTGCAGGCTGTTTGTTGCTGAGGTTCCTCACAAACCTCAGGGTGATGCTTTAGGAATCTGAGCCCTTCCTCTAAACCTGACATCTCTCATGTTCCTATCAGCATGAACAAGCAAAATGCTGAAAAGATAGCTGCAGAAAGGCACAGACTTGAGCAGGACATATCTGCCTTGATCATATTCATGAACAGTCCCTTCCAGAGATGTTTGGGCTGTGCTATGGACCTGTGAGCAGCCTACCCCAGGCAGCAACCTCTGGGCACCAGCAGGACCCTGTCCTGCCTTGCACGGGGGACTCCTTCTACCCACAGCTTCTCCCCTCAGTGCCCTGGGCAGCTCCCCACGCAGGCTGAGGGCTGAGCCTGACAGGCAGCAGAGGCCCTGTCCCGGCACACAGCCCCTGGGGCACAGCAGGGACCCTGCTCTGCACCACAGCCCTGGACACCCCTGCCTGCACCCTGCCTGCACAGCCTTCCAGGAGGTACCCTCGTGTCCTGTCCTTTTGACAACTTTGGCAGGTAATCATTGATCCAGGGAACCATCCCTGTCCCCTGCATCAGAGAAGTCAGGACAGACACTGTGGCATGTCCTATCAGCCGTGGGAAGTGGCAGCTGTAGAAGAACCCTATAGGATACTGCATCTGCCTTCCCCTCACACAGACACTTACCATGTTAAAGCTGTGAAGATTTCTCCTACAGTGAACTCTCTGCATCCCCACCCCCCCGCCCTCCACACTGCCTTTAACATCTCCCTTCCTTCTCTCAGCCACCCTTGTCCCCTGCAGACAGTGCCCCCAGCCCTGCTGTGCTGTGCAGAGGAGCTGCTCCTGGGCAGAGCTGTCTCTCTGCAGCACTTGCCAGGAGCTCCCATTGGGCCCAAGATCCCAGCCCAGCTCATCAGCACAGCTCCAGCCCAAATGCTTGCTGTTTCTCCCCCCTCAGGCTCCCTTGAGGTGTCCCTGGGCCTCCAGGGGAACTGACTTTGAAACTGAAGCGATTGCTGATGTTCCTTCCCTCCACTAGGGAAGGAAACTCTTTTCCAGCACTGTCATTCCTTGTATCCAAAAAAGTATGAAGTTCAAGAATCACCTTTCTGTGTCACAGTTTTAGGCTGGGACATGCATGCAAGGACAGGAAGGGATCTTGCCTTGCCCAGCTGACAGAAAGGTTTCAGCTGAATCAGCCAAGGCATCTCTTTCTTTGTTTGCAGTCCAGAGTCCAGAAGGGGGCTCAGCTCCCTCCCATGCCTCGCACAAGACATCTGCATGTCAGCTGCTTGTCTCAGCTTCCAGCACATTGAATGGAGATGGAGGCTGGGAGGGAGATGTTCAGATGCAGACATGGCTTTGAACACCTCTGAGGATGGCACTCCAGAAACCTCCTAGACTGCTTCCTCAGGGCTATATTGTATTTCCAGCATATGTGCAGGAAGTTAAAGTTCCCCATGAAAACAAGCGCTGGCGGTTGCATGACTTCTGCCAGATGCTATGGCACAAAGCTGCACCAGAGGAGTTTCAGACTGGACATTAGGAAAAATTCAAACACTGGAACAGGCTTCCTAGTGACCTGGATGATGCCCCAGGCCTGTCAGTGTCCAAGAAGCATTTGGACAATACCCTCATACATAGTCTCTAACTTTTGGTTAGCCCAAAAGAGGTCAGGCAGTTGAACTGGATGACCTCTGAAGGTCCCTTCCAACTGAACTATTCTGTTCTGTTCTCTCCTATCCTATCCTATCCTATCCTATCCTATCCTATCCTATCCTATCCTATCCTATCCTATCCTATCCTATCCTATCCTATCCTATCCTATCCTATCCTATCCCATCCCTTGCTGAGGGTGCACTCAATCTCATCATCTATGTCATTGAAGAAGACATTGAAAAGCACTGGTCCCAAGACAGTGGGACATAGAACTATATCTGGACATAGAACTATTGACCACCACTCTCTGGGTGTGGCCATCAAGCCAATTCCTTATCCACCAGATGGTCCACCCTTCAAATCCATATCTTTCCAATTACGAGATTAGGATGTCATGTGGGTCTATGTCAAAGGCCGTACAGAAGTCCAAGTAGATGACATTGGTCAGTCTTCTTTTGTCAGCTGATGCAGTTACTCCATCACAGAAGACCACCAGACCAGTCAGGTACTATTTGCCCTTGGTGAAGCCATACTATCTGTCCTGGATCACCTTCTTGTCCTGCATGTGCCTTAACATAGCCCCCAGGAGGATTTGTTTCACGATCTTGCCAGGCACAGAGGTGAAGCTCACTGCTCTGTAGTTCCCCGGGTCTTCCTTTCTACCCTTTTTAAAAATGGGAGTGATGTTTCCCTTTTTCCAATGTACTGGGTCTGGCTGAGGTGGAGTTAACATTCCCTGCAGGAGCCCATACAGGGCTGTGCTCTGCACTTGTAGCTAAAACAGCACTGGTATCACACCAGTGTTGTGTCTACTGCTGAGCAGTGTTGGCACAACACCAGGACTCCCTCCAACCCCCCCAAAAGCTAGCAGGCTGGGGGTGGGTAAGAGGTGGGGAGGGAACATCACCAGGGCAGCTGACCTAAACTGACCAAGGGGTATTCCATACCACATGATGTCACACTCAGAAATAAAAAGTGGAAAAGAGGATGGAGAGGGGAGGGGCGGGCTCTCATTATGAAAATGTCTTTCCTCCCAAGGGGAAGCTATGCATCTATGCATCAACGCATCACTTGTTGATAGGCAGTACAGAGTAATTTATTTTCTCTCTCAGTGGTTCCATGTGGCATTTTATTTTATTTTATTTTTATTTTTTCAGCCTATGTACTTTATTCCCTTTCTCTTTGAGAAGGAGGAGCGAAAGAGTGGTTGTGGTAGAGCTTGGCTGCTCACCTGAGTAAAACCAACACATCAAGTCACTGGGGACTTCGCTTGACTGCCATGAGTTTTCAAATATGATGGAGAGTGGCTTGGCAACTACATCAGCCAATTCCCTCAGGATGTCAGGATGCATAATATCAGTAAAAATTTATTTTTGCACAGAAGGAAAGTGTTGGTACATCTTGCTGGCACGTGTCTATGAACTATGAAAAAAAAAATCAGGAAAATTTGTAGGTCTTCAAAAATTCTGAAAATGAAAACTTCTTACACAACTATCACAACACTTTTTTTTTTTTTCCATTCACTTCGACTTTTGCCTAGCGTCTTTATATATGGCTTGATTCAGTTGCTCACACAGAGTAGCCACTGCTTCCAAGATATGCTGTTACTAAACAGCCATCTTTTTGGCATATGTTTCAACCTTTGCTCAACATCTTCAGTCAGGGCTTTATTCAGTTACCCATCCAGAGTGACAGTGCTCTTTTGGGCAGCTGAAGCCCCCCCAGTGGGGTTGGGGAACTTGACCTGGCATGTACAGGCACCTTTCTGCTGGAGCAGGAGGTGGTGCAGAAGCAGGGTATGCCAAGACATCTCAGTTGAGACAACTGATTTCTCTCCTTTGACTAGAAAGAGAAGTCTGAACAACTGAATGAAAGGTGTGGTCTGTTAGAGGAGATCACGCTCATCCCTGCTGGTATTGGAGTCACGTATTAAGTGCCGTGCAGAAAATGAAAAATGAGTAGGTCTAGGTGCTTCAGTCTTCCTGAACACTTTCCTGTAACCCATGTATGCTGGGATTAGTGCAGACTTGGCTATACAAAATCAGGCATCTGATTCAGTTTCTCTCTTTCCTTCCCTGAATCAAGGTAGCTCATGCCTTCAGCATGTGACTTGCTGCATGCCAAGAGTGAATATCCACATAGAGTCCAGGGCAGGGGGTGTTTTAGGTGTCTTGGGATCTGTGCTTGAAATAAACAGATGTTTTCCAATTGTCAGATGTTTTCTAATTTGGAAAGTGGAATTCAGAGGAGGTAGTTTGACTTTCATCTTCTGCAGAGGAATGACTTGTATGCTTTTATTGAACTAGGCCTTTGTTTTTGATTGTTGTTGTCTGGGTTTTGGCTGGGATAGAGTTAATTTACTTTACAGAGGTTCCTGTGATGCAGTGTTTTGGGCTTGTGATGGAAATAGTGGTGATAACATGTCAATGTTTTGTTTGTTGTTGAGCAGTGCTTATACTTAGTAAACGCCTTGATTACTGTGTGCAGTTTTTGGCCCCACAGTAAAAGACTTAAAGTTGTTAGAGAGTGTCCAAAGAAAGGCAACAAAAATGGTAAAGGGTCTAGAGAGGAAGATGTATAAGGAGTAGCTGAAATCACTTGGATTGTTCAGCCTGGAGGAGACTGAGGGGAGACCTCATTGCGGTATACAGCTTCCTCATGAGGAGGAGTGGAGAGGCAGGCACAGATCTTTACTCTCTGGTGACCAGCAATAGGACCTGAGGGAATGGCTTGACGCTGTGACAGGGATGGTTCAGGCTGGATATCAGGAAAAGGTTCTTCATCGAGAAGGTGGTCAGCACTGGAAAAGGCTTGCCAGGGAAGTGGTCATCGAGCCTT